AGCAAAAGCAACAGAGCCAACCAACCATGGGCTGAAGCCTCTAAAACTATGACCCAAAATATACCTTTCTTCTTTTTAAGTTGACTTAGATATTTTCTTACAGAAACAAAAACCTGTCACATATTTAGATATGTATATAGGCTAATATGCACACATATATTTCCTTGCTCTGTCAGCTCAGAAAGTCTAAAAGCGAATATACTCCAATAACAATTACCTACTTCTTGTGGGTTTTTTATGTGGTTGGTTTTTGTGATTGGTGTTTATTGTTGTTTTAAGGTTTTTTGTTTGTTTGGGCAATATTGGGGGTGGAACCCAGGGCCCCATACATTCAAGGGAAGCACTTTACCACTGAATTGTACTCTCAGCCCCAAATCGTGGTTTTTAATACTTTTGTCCAATATGATGAACCAAGCCTCCTTGGAGAAGTGGCTGCTTCTAGGACTTGGGCAAGAAATACACAAAATGAACCTGTTGTATCCTAAGTAAGGAAGTCCTCAAATGAAACCATGAGGGGGTGACTCAAAGGAAGCAGGAGATGACTGAAAGAGCATTCAATGGCCAAAGCTGGAACAATTTGAGCAAAAACAATCAATGAAAGCATTAGATAATAACCAAAAGTATAAGTTCCCGTGAATCTAAAGACTACTGAATTAATGAATGATGAAAAGCAGATAAATCTCCTGCCTAGAATCCCAAATTACTTATACAGTAGTCTACAAGGTAAGAGTATAACTCCCCATTCCCTAAGTGGCTTCCATCCAAAGACTAAATGTGAAAAGGGAGGAATAACATTTTAGTGGGGAAACCTGACTGATACTACTTCAGCCAGATGACCAAGGTTAACCTCAAAGCAATACCATGTTTAAGTGTTTTCAATATAATGCAATAAAATGGTACTTTACCTCTGTCTTCCCCCAAAACCCAAAGTTCCAGTCTAATCATGAAAAAAAAAATTTTTTCACAAATCTCAATTGAGAGGGATTACAAAATATCTGACCAGTGCTTCACAGAACTGTCATGGTCAAAAAAAAAAAAATAAGGAACATCTGAGAAACAGTTATAACCAAGAGGAGTCTAAGTAGATGTGGTATTCTGGGTGGGATCCTGGAACAGAAGAAGGGACATAGATAAAAACTAAGGGCATCTGAATAAAGTATGAACTTTAGTTAACAACAGTGTATCAATACTGACTCATTTCTATAAATGTACCATGTTAATAGAGAAACTGGATATAAGATATATGAAAACTATCTTAGCAATTTTTCTAAATGTCTAAATAGACATTTTCTTTTTCTAAATAAATAAGTTTATTACAAATCTTCAGAAATTACATACTAAGGCAGAAGAGGTATAATAGAAGGTATAGCTAGATAGTGTTTTTATTACTTATGAAAAATATCTGACTGGGTGCAGCAGGTACTTATGAGGTGGAGAACAGGAGGATCTTGTTTTGAGGCCAACCCCAGCAAAAAAAAACTTAGCAAGAGCCCAAATAAGCTGGGCATGGTGGCCCACACCTGTGATTGCGGCTACTAGAAAGGCCATAGGTAGGTGGATCATGGGTCCAGGCCTGACTCAGGCAAAAATTTAAGACCCTATCTGAAAAGAAACTAAAGCAAAAAAGGGCTGGGAGTATGAATCAAGTGGTAGAATGCCTGGCTAGCAAATGTGAGGCCCTGGGTTCAAATCCCAGTACTACCAAAAAAACTGTCCTTTATAATTGGAATAATATTCTATGGCCACCTAAAGGCTTAACTATTAGCCTAGGAAACATCAGTATTTTAGTTCATATTTCTACCCAAAGACAAAACAAAACATGGGTAACTGTACTAGAGGCTAAAAAAAGATGTTTAGGACTAGTATATGCTTATTTAACTAGGCTTATTTATTTTTTATTAAACTGAATTCCAAGTTAAATCTGAAGTTAATAACTTCCAGTGGCTCTTGGAATCAAATCTGAAGTCCTTACCACAGCTGGCCACATTAAGGTCTGGTATAATGTCGCTCCCACCTACCTTCTCTGACTTCAGTTTATAACATCCGTGTTTTCACTGTCTTAAGCTACATGAGTCTTTCTGCTCTAAAAACCTATTGTCAGGACTTTCCCACTTCACTCTTGACTAGTTATTTACCGGTGAGCAGCAAACCACCCCACCATTTAGTGGCTTAATAAAGCCTCCATTTACTCACTCATGATTCTGACTCAGCAATCTGGACTGATCTCACCTGGGACACTCATGCAGCTAGCTGACTAGAAGCTAGGCTATGGTAGGTGACTAGTGGCCATACATCTGGCAGTTACTGCCAGGCCACATACTCCCAGCAGGGAAGCCTGAGCTTTTTCACATGGCTGCAGCAGAGGTCCACCTGAGAGAAGCATTCATTTGACAGGTTAGTCCATACTCAAGTGGAAAGAAACAGGCTCCACTCTTGATGGAACAGAGCAAAAAATGGAGCCATTTGACCACATCCCTTTAAAGTATCTCAGATCTAGCTATGTAGCCCAGGCTGACCTCAAATTTGCAATCTTCCTGCCTCTGCCTCCTGAGTACCGGGATTACAGGTGTACACAGAGCCTTTCCTAACCAGTGTTTATAGTCACTTCTCCCTACTCTTCGCAACCCTCATCTCCATTCAGGATTGTTTTATTTCCTTTCCATCAAGAGTGCCCATTATGTCACTGCTCACTTGTCTGTCTTCTCAGTAGAAGGAACTTAATCTGTCATGTTCACCCCTAAGGCATTTAAAAATATATAGACAGCCAGGCAGCAGTGGTTCATGCCTATAATCCTAGCTACTCAGGAGGCAGAGATCAGGAGGATTAAAGTTCGAAGCCAGCCTGGGCAAATAGTTCATGAGAGCCTATCTGGAAAAAACCCATCACAAAAAAGGGCTGGTAGAGTGACTCAAGGTGTAGGCCCTGAGTTCAAGTGCCAGTACCACAAAAAAAAAAAAAAAGGCAATTCACATCTTTATTTCTTATTCTACAATAAGGAAGATAACTAAGTTATTAAAAAATTCAAAGAATAAAAGCACTTCTGTAAATACACAATAATCTAAACGCAAACAAGCTTTTCTTTTTGTCCCTTTTGTGCAGACTAAAAAAAAAAAAAAAAAAAATGAATAAAAAAACAAAGATCTACTTTTTTAGGCCCAAAGTAGAAAATTTTCTGAGTCTTTTCCAAGTGACTAAATTCAGAGCTTCAGTTTCCAACTGTAATAACATACCAATTTAGAAATTAGTGTTTTATTTTTTAAATTGCCCCAACAAAATCTCTAATTCTCTTGTTTGTCTCATTTTGTTAGGAAAACTTACTACACGGGAAGGCTTGGGGACTTCTGTTTTTATCTCCCAATATGTAGCAACAATTGCCTTGTCAGTTTCTGGGTCCCAAACACCAGGCCACTCTAACCACTCCTCCACTCACTGCAGGAACCCAAGATGTGGGTGGACTATTTGGATCATGTCTGCTCCTAATCAACCCATACGGAGATAGTTAACTCAAATAAAGACAGATAGAGTCATCAGAGTATTTTTCAATTTTATTTTTTTATGAATGACAGATCTACTCAAGATAATATTATTGTTTATTTAAATAAGGATACGGCTACTTAAAAGAGATTTTACATACAAAAATGTACAAGGTCAAACTTTTCCATACTGAATTACAAAAACTTGCACAAGCATTTATTAAAAGAGCATACTTAAAAACATTTGACCATTTGGTAGCCTCTAAAAAGTACTGAAGTTTCACAACAATAAGACAAAGGAAGCTTTTACACAACATAAATGACTTAACCTACTGGCACTTTTACTTAATGTAAGTTTTAAAAAGGTCATTGCTATTGAATGAATTGCTAGATCAGTTTTAGAATCATCTCTCAAAACTTAAGTCAACCAAAATATTTCAAATAAAAACTCCAATTCTGAAGAATTTTAATACTAGCAAATATACTATAGCCTCATAGAAGTAATAAACCAACTTTCCAAAGTGGCTGATAACTATCTAGATTAATAAGGCTATTTTGGAAAGCTGTACAGACTTTACAGCCTTTAGAAGCAATTTAGTGCCTGGGCTACAGGGTCCTGAGACTGCAGAATCCACAAGGCCATCTATGATCCCTCAAGTGTCAGAGGATTGGGTTCAGCCTATCTCCACCCCTAACTGAGGGAGTAGGGCCAAGGACTAGGAATTGCAAATGTAAGCCTGAAGCTTAGGATCTAGAGAAAGGAGGAGGAAGAATGAAAGTGAAGCAGAAAAACATACAAGAAAAGGGAAAGTGGAATAAAAAGGGAAAGGAAGAAAAGAACAAGGCCCACCTGCTAAAGCAGGAAGTAGTGCCTCTTACTTCGGCTCATAAGCCACCCACTGACTGTAATGCCATTCGTTTGCCTAACCCAGTAATTAGCTGGCTTTTCTGGAATAGAGAATCAAGTACAACAAAATTAACCCACGTTAGAAAATAAAGGTTATTCCAAAGTTGTTCACCATTCACATCAAATCTTTCTAACTTTTCAAGCAAACTACATCACCACTTCAAACCCTAAGACTCCCAATGCTGCTGCTCCAGGTCCCAGCATTAGGCATGCTGCATTATGTGAAGAAGGGCCATGCAGGATAAGCTGTAGCCATGCACTTCAGGAGGCACAGCGCTCTAAGATGGTGGGAGTATGTAACACACAGTGCATGGTTTAGTGCTTTTCCACCTTTCAAACTCAAAATAGCTCAATAATATGCTGCTATATGAGCATTGATTCTCAATGTTCATAATGTAAACTTCAATTTGAAGCAACAGTGTTACACAGTTCAGCTGTTATTACCAACCTACTCTGTAAGTTAAATATACAAATTAAAAATTAATTTCACTGAGTAACTAAAAGTAAGTTCCCACTGACTTAAAATCGTCAAATGGCTAAATCTCTCTTAACTAAGAGAGAAATACAAGTGGAAGGGGGGTTAACTAAATATAAAATATAATTTGTCATTCTACCCTAAAATCTGCATTTTTTAAATCTCCTTTAATATTTATGGTTAGGAACACAGTTCTCATCAACAATATTATATGTATCAGCCCTGCAGATAACAATATATTTAAAAACTTACTATGACAACTTATACAACACTTAGTATGTATCAATTTTGTCTTGTGTACAGATTTATAGTCTGGAGTAAAGGCAGAATGGCCAAAAACTACTGGGCTAGTACTTACCTGCAAGGCTGAATAAATTTTTTGTAAGGCTATTCAATAGCTGAACTAAAATACTTGTTTTAACAAATTAAAAAAGGAAAGAAACTCCTCTAAAATGTATTGAAAACAGGAAATCCCAATTTGAATACACATGGAAAAAAAATACAAAGTATCCTTTGCTCTTGGGTAGAAATACTTAGCAGAAAAGTAGCCCTAGCACTCATGATAATGAAAACCCTACTTTCCCATTGACTTCCATAATATACTTGGAGTGGTAATACTAGCTGCACAAAAATGGGACAGCTCTATGGGAACCCCATCCAGCAGAAAGTCCAATTCTCTCCTGCTGTAATCAACAGTGAATTCCAACTCTAAGCCCCTCTATTACTATCTCCAGAAGACACTGATGTTTCTGCCCCTCACTATCATACTAAATTCTCAAATTCTACCCTCCCTCTCTATTCTCTAAACTTTCTGCCAAGTTCCAACATGATTACTCAGCCTGAAGATTTTTAAATCAACTTCATTTTAGAAAGATTAAGATCCTAGGAGGGCATAAGAGCAGAACTTACTGTGTGAGATCATAGACTGCTTACAAAAAGAGTAGACAGGACAAGATTGTTCTAAAAGATGCACCAGTCACCTCAGAGCCAATCAATTCTGTTAGACTTTAAGAAAAGAGTAATAGAGAGTACTGCCTTCCTTTTTACTTTTTATGGGAAAAAACAATGCTATCTGTACTTTCAGAATAGCTTTCCAGTAGTACTATCAAGATGTTTTTCTTGGTGAACCTTTGAGGATGCATGTGGCAATATTTACTAAAATACTGTAATGAACTGTTAAATGCTTCTGCTTATGAAACAAATTAATAGCAATGGTGAACTATTAAAATATTTGAGCCTTAAAAAGAAATCTCAAATTTCGCCAAAGATTCTGAAGGAGAGTAGTAAGGACAATTCCTAAAATTGATTAGATATTTTATGACAGATTTGTAGCTAATGATTTCAGCCGGGCCAATATAAATGATGTATACTAAACCAATATTTTAAAAAGAAATTCTTTCCTACTCAGGACATGAAAGGCAAGAAATGTTAAAAAGGGAGAGAAGGGGAGAGAAAGAAAACACTTTACTCTGAACCTATTTCAAACCTCTTAAGAAAATTCTGCAATAATCAGGATCTCTGTAAATACTGTCAAATATATGTGAACTTGTTTGAAAAGCTAGATAGTTATATTTACATTTTTGGAAACTTTCCTTCATGGCCATGTAACATGTTGTATCTTCCTTTTTGCTTCTGGAGGCTTCAGGTTATTCTAAAAAACATGAGCAGAAACCAGTTTATACTTAAAAAAAAGTCTGAGAATAGCTAAAATAAACATTCAAGCAACCAGGTTTACTACTAATACACTAATGGAGGATTACTGCTGCCATCTAGTGGGAATACACATCAGGAGATTAGGAGAAAACCAAGTCTCTTCTGGCTCCCATTTTTTTGCTGTTTCTCAAATATGTGCGCATTAGAATAAATGAAAGCACTTAAAAACATGCCAGGGCCTGGGCCTTATCCAAGAACCAGTGAAACCAGAATCCATAGAAAGCTTCTCTATGGTTTCTGAGAGGCTTCTCAGGTGATCCTAATGGGCAGTCAGAGCTGAGAAACACTGACTACTGCAGACCCTGCTTCCTCCCTGCTCAGCCCATCTCCTCTATCAACTTCATACTCCAGATGTTGACAATATGAGAAATGAATCACATGTATAACGATATATGTATGTATATATATGTACACACACACGCAAATACCTGAAAAAAAGTCCTCACAGCTCACTCACTCCAGTATTTAAGATGTGGCTTTTTCTTCCAACTTTCATTTCACATCCTCCTCCTCTCTCCCACAGGGTGGCTTAAATAAATGTGGAGGCAGTGTGGAATTCTAAGTGCATGCCCTGGGATTAAAGGGCCCTGGATTCAAATTGAAGTCTGGCCACTTATTAACTCTGGAGCCCTGGACAAGTTTGTGTAACTGTACTAACTGGCCAGCATATGAAATCTAAGCATTCAAATGCTTTAGTATACAACATAATAGATTCCCCCTAGACTAGGGGCAAGTGGTAGAGCGCCACCCTAACAAGCATGAGAACTCAAGGTCAATTGCCAGTACCACAAAAAAAAATTTTTTTTAAATAAAAATGTATGAAAAAAATTGGACTCGGGGGGTGTGGTTCAAGTGGTAGAGTGCCTCTCTCGCAAGTGTAAGGCCCTGAGTTCAATTCCCAGTAGAACAAGAAAAAAAAAAAATTCAAAATTTGTACTGTGGGTGTGGCTCAAGTACTACAGTGCTTGTCTAGCAAGTATGAGACCCTCAGTTCAATCCCAGTGCTACCTTTCCCCTGCCCCCAATAAATACCCTCAGCCTTCCTCTATCCCTCTAAAGTTAAGTACATTTATTTGAGGGGTAATGAAGGCAAGTGATAAATCTTAGAGAGACTGGTGTAGTTTTAAGGTAAGTGAAAACAGACTTAAGGTTAAGGCCCAAATGCTACTTCATGTGTGACCCTGAACAAATTACTTAACATCCTGAGCCTTACTAATAAAAGAGTATTTCTCATTTTAGTCCCAAGATAGTGGAACTATATAAATGAGAATAATCTAGGAAAACTGCTTATCTTTATGGATTTTAAGCAGAAATAAATTGAGAGCACTTTCAAAAGCAAAAATCATGGAGTTTTCAACTGTAGGTTTGAACACAGGAACAATTAGATATAAAAATCAGATCAGATAGATTCAAGAACAGCAAATGGGTGTTATGTGCAGACCATGGATTCAGGCGGATGCCATATATGCTATCTTCCTCTTGACCAGCCTCCTGTACACTGGTGAGCCTGGGACTCCCAACCCAGGGAAGAAATTCTGGACAGTATGGGCCTTACCCATCTGCTCCCTGGCCTAGGTTGGTGAAGAGTGAAGACAGCATAGGTGCTGGCCTGGGTGGGGGTGAGTGAACAAAGCAGGTGGCCTAAGGAGGTAGCATCTCCCTGAGGGCTCCAGTGGGTGCACATAGAATTGGGCCATGGTGCCTTCCCTTAGGCAGTCTTTCCTGTGGTGAGGGTGGGTCTTAACAGGGTGACCTGTCCCACAGTAGTATTGTACTTGTGCTGGGCACACGTGATTGACATGAGCTGGAGCCTCACCCTACAGAACAGAACTTTGGTCCTTGACTTCAGGTGCCTCCTCCCAGTTTGTAAGGGTATGGAAGCATGTCTATCATCTATGTCAATGTTTATCTTTGTATTTGTATTTACCCTAGATCCTACTTCTTTAAAGTGACAGGTTTTGTGGTCCGGATTATTCTGCAAAGGAGTCTTTATTTCACCTGCTTTAAAATGTCTTACATGACACACTGCAGACCAAAAGAGACTGGTAGTGGTCCTGGTCTGTGGCAAACAGAAGTCATTCATGATGTTACCACATGTGGCTCTGTTTTGTTTTCTAAGAAGTGGTGAACACTGTCGACCATTTAGAGTGGAAACCACAAAAATAAATAAATAAAATGTTTAACATGAGCTGGGCATGGTGGCTCAAGCCTGTGATCCTAACTACTTGGGAGGCAGAGCTTGGAAGGATCATGGTTTGAGGCCAACCAGGGCAGAAAAATTCAAGGGTGAGGTGACATATGCCTGTCATCCCGGCTACACTGGGAAATATGATGGTCCTGGCCTTCCTGGACATAAAGCAGCAGCTTATTTCAAAAATAACCAACACAAAAAGGGCTGGCAGAGTTGTTCAAGTGGTAGAATGCCTGCCTAGTAGGCACAAGCCGAGTTCAACTCTCAGTACCACAAAAAAAGTTTTGCATGGTCATTGGCCAGCCTTTACTTTGGGGGAAATATAAGTATGTTAGATGTTGTGCAGATTACTGTACCTATTTATTACTTAAAACAATACTGAGAGTTATTAAAACCACAGTGGGTTATGAAGGTAGTGCCTCAACCAGCTGCATTACCTTCTTGGTATTAGGAGGGGCCTCCTGCCCTACTATCCTCCCTATGTGACTGTGACCCTTCTCTTTTCCCCTAACTCTTGCCCGCCTATCTTAACCTCATTTAAATCATGGTAAAGAAAGAGGTGTGAGGTTAATTATCAAAACTCTATTATAGTTTGATCATTGTGGTAAATTGAAAGATGTGACGTTAATTATTGAAATTCTATTATAGTATGATGTACAGATAGGCTTTAATCTCTAAAGAGAGGACCCCAAGTCTGTATTCTCAGGTCATAGCCCACCAAAGGAAATAAACCTATCTTCACTACCCGTCTCCCTCCCTCTACCCCCCAAAAAAAGAGAACAGCAAGTAACACAGCTGGCCCACCATGGGCTACAAGGTGGGCTGCTCAGGTTTCATACCTAGTATGGAAACCACCCCATACTTACCAGGGCCTCTGCTTCTTCCTTAGGAGCAGCTCGCTTCAACTTTACAGGAGTAGTTCCAACAGGGGACAAAGGTGGCGACTTCACAGGACCCAAAGGACTTTTCCTATGCGTTAAGTCATGGTTCTGTTTAATGTCATTATTATTGTGTTCCGTTTTATTGTTCATAGGCAAATTGGAAGACAAAATTAGGGGTGGAACACTTGAAGAGGAATTTGATAATTTTCGAAAGGCATTATTGGTAAAGCTTGCCTGAGGGGGAGGCTTGAGTCGGTCATTATCTCCATTCTCTGTCTTTCTCACTTTGATACTTGTACTTGTTGAGCTTCCATCAAATACAATGAGGGGCCTTTTCCTTAACCCGTCTACAGTGCTACTCCTGAAATCAAAGAAAAGCATTCTTGAAAAAACCATCTGATATGGTGAACTACTTTATTGGAATTCAAAGTTAAAACAAACAACAGTCAATAAAATTTATTGATAAGACTGTTGTTAAGCAAGACTAAGAAATGAAATTTTCTATGTTCACTCTTTTTAAAACATCAATTAACCATATAACCTTCAAACAGGATTTCCACATAACAACAAAAACAATCCAGGTTACTAATAGGGTTAGATTGACTATATAATCCTAATCAATTATTATTTTGGAAAGATAAATTAAAAGTATACCAGGACTACTACAGTGGCAGTCTACAATGAGGCAGAACATTCTATTCCAGTCACTACTAGTCTCTAAGGCCAAGGTGTTTTCTAAACTGCTTATAATTGCAACATTTGTACAGTTATAATCAGAAGATTTGGTGAGCCTTCATGCTGAGCTTGTAAAAATCAAATTTCTATTTTTTTAAAAATTTTGTTTTTTGTGGGACTGGGGTTTAAATTCAGGGCTTTGTGCTTACAAAGCAGACATTCTACCTTTTGAGCCACACCTCTAATCCATTTTGCTCTGGTTATTTTGGAGATGGGGGGAGGGGAGGGCACATCTCACGAACTATTAGCCTGAGATGGCCTCAAACTGCGATCCTCCCAATCTCAGCCTCCCAAGTAGCTAAGATTACAGAGATGAGCCACTGGCATTTGGCTCTTCCCTCCCCCCAAAGATTTAGCAAATCCTGTTCTATCTACATCTGAAAATAACATCCAGACCCAACCTACCATAATTACTTAACCTACCACTTACTGTCTGGATTACCACACAGCCTCCTAATTGGTCTTATTGCCTTTACCCTTGCAACTCTGCCACTTAAATCACTTCTCAATTCAGCAGAGTGATCCTGTTAAAATATTATCTGGCAGAGTCACCACCATCATTGGCTTAAAACCCTCCAACAGCCTCTCGTCTCAGAGTAAAGCCAAATTTCTCACAATGACTCACACGCTTGCCATGACCTGACAGTCTCCTCAGCTTACCCTTCCTAACTCTTCCCATTCTTGGGCACACTCCTGATCCAGGCTCTCGTATTCTGCTGGAATGCTAGCTTGCTCTCTACTTCCTACAGGTCTCTCTACTGAAATGTTATTTCTCAGTAAGGTGGTTCCTGGCCATCTTACCACAAATTGTGATCTCTCTTCATAGTTTACTTTTCTCATTAGCATTTATCACTATGTAACATAGCACACACTTTTTATTACATTTCTCTCAATTAAAATATGAGTAAAAATTTTGTCAGTTTTATTCACTGCTTTAAGCATAGTGTCTGGTGCTCAATAACACTTACTGAATAAATGATTTTTTTCTTTCTTTTTATTTTTTTTGCCTAAATTTACCTGGGGAAAGGGAAATAAAACAGGTTAGTCATGTAAGATAAAATGAAAACAAGAACGACAAAGTACCTTTTAGTCTCATTTTTTATCTCATGTTGTTCTCTTTTCTTTTCCATCATTTTCCCCCATCTGTTCTTTGGCAAATCCCTCTGAGGCAGCGGTATCGCATGCTGGACGTAAAGATCTGTGAGATCATCTTTGTTTATTCTTACATCATTTTCAACAGCTATGTTCTTCTATGGGAAAGGAAACAAAGATAATTTCAAAATAACACTTTTCATTTTAATAACTACTTACCCTAACATGACAAAATATTACAGCTTAAGTGACAAATTATAAAACCATTTTCACAATCACATACATTCTTAAAAATACTACTAGATATATTATAGATAGGTTAAGTTCTGCAAATATTAGGTTCTGCCTCATTTTAAAGAAAGTGGTCACATGCTCTCACTGTGACAGGACTGTTGCCTGAAACTGTTTAGCCAACACTCCAGACTTGAATACCATTTCCAGTACTACCATCTTAACTACTACAAAGGGGATTGAAATTAGGGGACAGCCTGGGAAAAACAGACAGTAGGAAGTTAACGATTACTACATTCTCCCAAAAAACTACCTTGAGTGTAACTATTATGATCAGATTGGTAGGATGGAGGTCTCAGTTTCATCCTTATATTATTTCTCATGTTTCTCCAATTTGGTGTTTTTTGGGGGGTTGTTTCTGAGTGCTGGAAACTGAACCCAGGCCTTATGTATGCTAAGTATGTGCTACGCCCACAGCTCCAGTACTGCTTCTTAAGCTGAAGTTAATTACCAAGATTTTAAATAAGACCATAGAAGAAAACTACAGTTCCCTCTCTGAAGACAGTAACAGATCATTAGAACAGCCTGACCCCACCCCTTGGTTTTCACTCTTCCTTTCAAGTAGCTTCCAGGCATTGTCCAATCATCTCTACCTAAATCATCTCATCCTCCCTCATTTCCCAATTTGTTCTTGGCATCATGGAAAACATACAAGTACAGGAGTAGCTGCAGAGACAGTTTGGATTTAGAAAGGGAAAATGAGAATGAAGATGAGATCATAGGCTCTTCACCTTTAAAAGCACATTTTACTTCTTTTATCTCATATAGTATACTATTTTTTATTTTCACCCTCTATTCACTTGGAAGTGGGGAAACAGCATCCCCAGTGGATTCACAGGCATGGCACTTTGGAAAGCACTGTGTTTGGGCAGTGGTTCTCAAAGTGTAATTCCTGAGGCCAGCAGCAAGAACGTATTAAAAATGCAAATTTTCAGGCCACATCCTAGGTTTACTTAATGAGAAAAGGAGGATGGAGTCCAGCAGCCTATATTTTAACAAGCCCTTGGCGGTTCTGATGTACTTAGAAGCTTGAGAACCATGGTATTGTCATTATTAAAATAACCTACTTAAGAGAACTTCAGGAATTACAGAAAAGACAGGGTTCTGCGGGAAAACAAAATATGCTACATAAACTTCCAACAATTCTGTCACTTTAAGTAAAAACTTCCAACTTTCGCCTATTATCAGAGGCCACAACTGCTGAAAAACCGTAAGCACGATATGGAGTTTGAATTCTCCTCCAAACTCTACCATTTACAGCTACGATGGCTTTAAATTAGTCCCTGTCTTTGGGACTCAGTTTCGACATCTTTAATGAGGTGAGAAGCTGTGGAGTAGACAGTTTCTCAGACGCTTTGGAACGCTGACAGTCCTGGAATGCTACCCTCCATGTCTGTTCTTTTATGCTTCTTCCCCGGTACCTAACTCAGGCCCTCGGTTACACACAGGCCACGGGGGTCACCTGTGACTCCTCTCTTCCAGCCACTAAGAACCCTGATTGGCAAATGCTATATGCCAGGATTCCTGATCCTCTAAGGGCGTCCGTTTTTCGAATAGGAGGCAAGGGAACTCTGGTCAGTGTTGGTGCCGAGTGGCACAAACCCGGCAGGCGGAGCGCCGGCGGCGAGATGTCCGTCGTCACGGTGGGCGACTTGGGGCGAGCTCAGCTGCGAGCCTCTCCCGAGCAGGCCCGCCCGCCCGCCCGCCGCCCCGGCGCGCCCGACCTGCTCCAGGGTGAGGAGAAGGAACTCCTGGGACAGCAGCTCCGGGTGCAGCAGCAGTTCCGAGTCCGTACAGCTGCGACCGCCCACATCCCCCGCCATCGTCGTCGCCAGGAGACCCCGGCCAGCTACCCACAAAGCTTCGCGAAGGAAACGTCCCGGAAGTGACGTCATCTTGGGGACGGAGACTCGATTGTGTCGTCACTCCAAGCGCGCCGAGCGCACAGTAACACTTTTCGTGGTGGGTGGGGAGTGGGCGGTCTGTACCGGATAGTAAATGCACCCTAGACGAGAGAAAAAAAAGGGATATCAGACGGTAAAACGAATGGCGTCAAGTGCTATAGTAAGAGAGGGAAGAACAGAGTTCTCCCAGCCGGTCGCTATTTGTCGCGCTTCCTATGACGTCCAATGGCAGAGACGAGAGGGATTCTCGGGTCAGCCTCGAGGGAAAGAATCAGGTGGAGAGGGCAGATATACATTCTCCCCCATCCCCCAAATAGCACTTGTTATATCTAGAATTATCTTAATTTTCTTTTTTAACCTCTTCATCGTTTGTCACCTGAGCTTCCTTTTATATAATATAAACCCAATAAGGCCAGACACTATTAATTCTGTTATCCCCGTGCCTCAGACTTAATAAGCACTCGTGTTTTTTTCCTGAAATGATACTCGTAATTAACCAGCTCACATAATAATCAGCTGAGAAAACCGATAGTGACAGCCAAACGTTTGTCAGAAATTTGGTATTTTGCATTATTTCATTCCTCAGAACAGTCTAATGAGGTATATCTTACTAGAATGCCTATTTCTCAGAAGAGGAAAATGCACCAGAAGGGTAATTTCCTGACCACTCAAGATCACAGTGAGAAAGTAGCAAGTCAAATATTCAAGTAATTTTTTTCCTTGTATTTACTACAATGATTTAGCAGTCTTTAGTTTCAATAAATTGGTGTGTGTGCCAGTTATGGTCTCATTCCTAGTAATTAGCTAAGAAATCTTTTCTGCTCTCATTCACAGGACAGAGATGAATACCCGATTTTTCCCATTTGAAAGTTGCACTTACAGACTTGTTTTGAATGTATACTGTTTGCATCCTCTATGGTGTACAGTTTTATTGGAAACTATTGCATTGTCTACAAAAATGTGAACAACTCTTAGGATGCCAACAGATAAACCCTAAAAATAAGTGAAATTCTAAGTCAAAAAGACAAAATAAACCTGAGAGATGTCCTGTAATTTCTGTCTCACATGTACGTATGTGATACCTTTGTTTAGAAGCTGAATTTCAGAGCTAAGAAGAAACTTAAAAGTCTTTTAAGATAAAAGTTACCCAGTTTATTTAGTGTCTAGGAAGCTGATCTGAAAGCGATTAATTGACTTGCCCTAAATTGATCAGTTTTAAAACTGAGCTGAATGTCCTAGGTTGGAGTTAAACATCTTAGCTTCATGGTATGACATAATTTTCCATATCCAAACTCTGATTTGATAATGTCATAATAACAGTGAAATTACTGTGGATGGTATCATTGCCTCCATTTCCTTCACTGGGAGGCACATTGTTTTAGTGGCAAAAGCAGTGTCTTGGAGGGAGTCTGGGCTTCAAACCTCAGTTCAAATTATCTTCGACTGCACAGAGACCTTGAGTAGGTTGGCCTCTCAGCCTCAGTCTCTTCATCAAGAAAATGATGAATTAATATCTTCTGTGAGGATATCAATACATGAAGTGGGTGCTTAAGAATCAGTAACTAGACTGTACAAAGTTACTGGTCATAGGAGCAGTCTAGAGAGCAGAGAAAGGGCAGGCTTTGGAGTGTCCCAGACTTGGATTGTAGACCCCACTCCTACTCTCACTGAGAACGAATATGTCATCCTCCCGGCTGTAGCTTCCTTAACTCTGAGGTGAAATGAAAATGCCACCCCACAGTGTTGTAAGGACTGGAGCTAAAGGATGTCAAATGCCTCTCCAGTTGCTTCTACCTGGAATGTTGTCTCTATTGATTGTCATCAAGAGAGAATGGCAGGGTGGTGATATAAGAAGCAGGTTTAATAATCTGAACATGTAGTTTCAAGTCCTTGCTGTGGTTTTGTGGACCTGTCACCTAGCCTGAAGCCTCAAACTCCTCACCTACAAAACTTGTGTGGCAGGTAAGATCTGTCTTCTTTTCCTTTCTGGTATTTCCCACTTTAAAAGTACTTTCTTGCTTAAAATGAATCCACTAATATTATCCTAGGTGCACCTAAAGCAAAAGTTATAGGATGAATGGGTATAGTGGTATGTGTCTATAATCCCAGCACGTGGGAGGCTGGAATTGAACTCTACTTTCATGATAGTCACTTCCTAAAGTCCTCCCTCTTAATAATGTAATATTGGGGAGTAGATTTCAACATGAATTCTGGGGAGATGCAAACATTCAGTTCATATCACTCATCTTACTGGTCACCTCTTTTATCTTTGCGTCCTCAGCCCCCAGCACAGTGCCTGCCACACAGCAAGATCATTCAGTTAAGTGTGTGCTTAATGAATGTGAATGAATCAACCTTTCCTCACTCTTAGGGACGTCCTAACTGAGCTCCAGTGTCACAAAGTCTCTAGAGCACCTTATTTTTGGCTTTGTGATCTCTGATTAGGTGGGTTTTTCTCCCACATATTCCCCTAAATCATTTCTGAGGTTTGGAGTGGGGGTATGGGAATTTTCATCTCCAAGTTCAGAGGTGATACCGGGACTGCTGATTAGCAGCCATAACTTACGGACAATTGCCTGAGGACAGACAGTCTTCTCATTTTAGTATCCCTTCCAGCCTCTGGCGTAGTACTCAGCACAAAGGAGCTGCCCAGGAAATAATCAATGTAATAAGTAGTTCAAAAAGTTTATTTTGAGCTGGGGATGTGGCTCAATTGATAGAGAGCCTGCATAGTAAACACAAGGCTCTGAGTGCAACTCCCAGTATCACAAAAAAAGTTTATTTTACTGAAGATAGATTACAAGTATATGATTAAATAAGCTAATATTGTACATGTAGATGCTCTTAAAACACAGCATATAATATTCTAATTTTACTTTAAAAATTATAAATATAACTTTTCTTTGATTAACCTGGTCTTCTAGCATACTCTCTTATGCTAGATTGTATGCCCTTAAGAGTGTTTATCAGTTAGAATAACAGAATCTTAGCATTAAAAGCCTCTTTCGGGGTGGAAGTGTAGGTAGGTCAGTAGTAGAGAGTATGCTTAGCATATGTAAGGTACTGGGTTTGGTCCCAGCTCCCCCCACACACAAAAAAGAGCCTCTTTTATTTTTATTTATTTATTTATTTTTAATTTTTTATTATTTTATTATTCATATGTGCATACAAGGCTTGGGTCATTTCTTCCCCCTGCCCCCACCCCCTCCCTTGCCACCCACTCCGCCCCCTCCCTCTCCCCCCCACCCCCTCAATACCCAGCAGAAACAATTTTGCCCTTATTTCTAATTTTGTTGTAGAGAGAGTATAAGCCATAATAGGAAGGAACAAGGGTTTTTGCTGGTTGATATAAAGATAGCTATACAGGGAGTTGACTCACATTAATTTCCTGTGCGTGTGTGTTAGCTTCTAGGTTAATTCTTTTTGATCTAACCTTTTCTCTAGTTCCTGGTCCCCTTTTCCTATTGGCCTCAGTTGCTTTTAAGGTATCTGCTTTAGTTTTTCTGCGTTAAGGGCAACAAATGCTAGCTAATTTTTTAGGTGTCTTACCTAGCCTCACCCCTCCCTTGTGTGCTCTTGCTTTTATCATGTGCTCAAAGTCCAATCCCATTGTTGTGTTTGTCCTTGATCTAATGTCCACGTATGAGGGAGAACATACGATTTTTGGTCTTTTGGGCCAGGCTAACCTCACTCAGAATGATGTTCTCCAATTCCATCCATTTACCAGCGAATGATAACATTTCGTTCTTCTTCATGGCTGCATAAAATTCCATTGTATAAATACCACATTTTCTTAATCCATTCGTCGGTGGTGGGGCATCTTGGCTGTTTCCATAACTTGGCTATTGTGAATAGTGCCACAATAAACATGGGTGTGCAAAAGAGCCTCTTTTAAACATAATTTAGCTCATTGGTATTGAGCATCAAAGCATCAAGAATTTTAAAAAATTAGTTGAATGTTTTTTACATTCAGGAAAATACAGCAGGCATCAGAGACCCTGGTAAATCACTCCTTTCCTGGAGGTTATATATCTAGTGAGGAAGTGAGAAGTGGAGTGTAAGTGTAAGGATATTAAGTTTTGGAAGCAGTAACTATTAAAGCATTCAGTTATATCTCTATGCAACTCTTCATCAGTCTTCTGCTAGGAAGGATACATCTTTTTCATATTCTATAAAATACTCTTGCTATGTATGGTACAGGGTTATTAAACAAATATTAATAAATGAAATAATAATTCCTTTGAAAATCAGTATGACTGATATTTTTTCTTAAATGTACTCAATAGAAACAATATGAGAAATTTAGAATTATCCTATGCAGATATGTGAATGTGTTTTATGGTCCAGGCATTTGATTAGAGGTTCCTGTCATTTGTGATATAGACTTCTCAGTAAGCTCCAGTAAAAACAGATGTTTCTAGATGGAATAATGTGCCCACATAGAGTTTGCCATTTTAAGAATCCTGTGGTAAACCCTCTCATAAAGGAAATAATTATTTCTAATTTATCTCTTTTGTTCCTACACATTTTCCACTCCAAGGTCTTCTAATGTGGATCACAAAGTTTGTTCCATAAACTACTCAATCAGTAGAACTAATTTTATATTTAAAAATCACTGTGATCCGGGCACTGGTAGCTCACACCTGCAATCCTAGCTACTCAGGAGGCAGAGATCAGGAGGATCAAGATTTGAGGTCAACCTGGGCAAAAAAATGAGACCCTATCTCAAAAATACCCAACACATAAAAAACAAGCTATAGTAATGACTCAAGAGGCAGAACCTGGCAACTGTGAGGCCCTGAGTTCAAAGTACAGCACCACCAAAACAACAACAAAAATCACTGTGTTGTTGAAATTTGGGTTCTTGTTCTTCCATTTTTTCTGAGCAAGGGATTTGGGACTAGTCATTCTTGTTTTGTCATGGTCAGCTCATCTGTAGAATGGGGAAATTATAAGGGTATGATAGGGGTGTATTGCTGTGAAGCATTTGGCTCACTGTCTGGGGTTGGTGTTGGGCAGCTCTGTGGTGTGGTAAGGCATTTTGGTAGGTACAAGTGTGGATTCTAGGCCCAGCTGGGCCACACACAAGTTGATGGTGGCTCACATATTCTCTGTGGACTAGGGTAAAAAGCTGGGGTTGAATTTGCTCTGGTGTCTTCCTGCCTCAGGCTCATCTGAGTCTTGTCTTTAGACCTGAGATCCATGCACTGTTGTTTGCCCCTGAAACTCGGTTGTTGATCAGAGCTCCATGCTCCTGGAATCCCTTGTCCTAGTGGAGGCAGAACTAGTGACACTAGTTCCACTGAGTCGGTGGGGAAGCACCTTCAGGGAAGGGGGCATATGTGTGATTGCTGGGTTATACTAGGGAAAATTGGCGGCAAGGCCACAGTAAGATCACTTCTTGATAGTTCTTTAGACGGTTCCCACCCTCCTTCATCCTTTGAAGCAAGACCATAGAATAGAATCTAGTACCAGCTTCCAGGCTTGGGTGACAACTTGTTTTGTGGATAACATCTTTGTGTTACAATTCCCCAGGGGCTGGAACGAACAGGTTCTGAAGTCCGGGAGAATCACTGGGGAACTTAGCTTTCTGTGTGCTAACAGTCAGCACTGACAGGCCTGGAGGGAGCTTTCTGATTCTTTCATCATGAAATTGGGTTTGGCTATAAATTGAAGAGGGGCTCACAGATTCATATGGTAGTCTAGGATTTCTTCATTGTGACTTGACCCAAAGAAATAGCTATTGACTGACTTTTTAAAGGGCTTGGTACAATAGCCCCAGGACTCCTTCCTACCTAAGAATACCCTGCAAACACACCCCTCCCCGGGATCTGCACCCTGGTCGTGCCGGGACTAGCTGACGACCCGGGGAGGCGCAGCCCAGTCCGTGGCTCCCGGGTCGGGGCTGTGCGTCGGCGGCCGGGCGCGGCATCGTCCAAGCTCCGTCGTTCATTCATTGGGCAGTGCTGCCAGATCCTCCACCTTGCCTAGCGCGGTCGGTGTCAGCCATGGGGCGGAGAGCGGAAGAGGCCAGGCCGCGACTGCACTGAGCTCCGCGAGCCGGCGGGCGAATGGAGGCTCGGTGGCCGCGCGCGGCCCGCTCGCTCTGAGCGCGCGCAGGCCGGAGCGGTCGCGGCCCCTGGGCCCCGGGACGCGCAGGCCTGGAGCGGCGCGGGGCCGCCGAGCTCCCGCCCCACGCCGGCGCCGGGCGGCGGCCCACGTGACGGGAAGCAGCGGCGGCGGCGGGGCTGGCAGCCCAGAGCCGCGGGCCGGAGCGGGCGCGGGGCCCCAGGCCGCGGGCGGCGCGGGACGGCGGCGCGGGTGCGGGTGAGTGCTGGGGGCGGCGGCCCCGCGGGCGCGGGGTGGGGGCGGGGGCCGGAGCGGAGCGAGAGTCTGCAGCTGGGGCAGGTGTGCAGGTGTGCGGCTCAGAGGCAGGTAGGTGCTCCCTTTGCGGGGCGGCATGCCCGTCCGCCGGGTGAGCGAGGAAGTGTTCCCGCGGGTGCGGGGTCAGCCAGTGCGTGTGCTGCGTGCCAAGTGCTTGACTTGGGCTTCTGGCGACAGGGAGCAGGGGGACTGCCCGCGCTCCTCTACCCCGGCATGGAATGATTTGGCCACTATAATTGAGGTTTCCCCAGCTCCCTCGATTTCATTCTGGTCGCACTCAGGCCCGAATTGTTCACACAACTTGGAGACTAGGCAGAGGGTTGCTGCCCAAGAGAGAAGAGAAGAGGCCTCTGCTGGGGTGTCGGGTCAGCTGTAGCCCATGGGATTTTTCCTTTCCAGTGCCTTCTGGAGGGGATAGTGGAAGTTTGTTCGCCTGCCTCCCTGTGTGACATGAGGATGACTTTAAAGATTGAAACTGTTCGTTTGTACCTGCCGTTCCTTCCGTGCAAGGATTGTTGGGTGACCCTTAGGAAGCCTGAGCAGGCTACTCTGGGGTCCTACCATGGAGTTCACACAGTGCTTCTTAATGCAGAGACTACTTTGGTGTGTGGTCTGAGCGAGTTTAACCACTGGTGAAGTAGTTTGCATAGGTATGTGGTCCATCAGGAAGTGGAAAGTTAAAGCCCTGAGAAGGTGTGCGAGGAGACTCCTGCTGCAGCATGAGCTGGTCCACCTGGAGTCAGAACACCACCCCGTGGAGAGAAGGCTGAGTGGTGCCTACTCCTCCCTCATAGTGTTGGGCATGCATCTCTCTTTTGGTCAGCAGAGCTGAGCAGTCTGAGGACTCAGGCCCACAGTCATGTAGGAAGGGACATTTAGCCAGCTGCTTCCTTTCCTCCTTCCATTTCTGCTAGCCAAGCAGCCTCAAGGCCATCACAGTGGTCTCTCTGATGTGTAGTAAAAGGCAGCCTGGGATATTAGAAAGAGCACTGATTAGGATCCCCTGGAATCTGCCCACACTAGCCTTTCCTAGGCCCCAGGCCATATATGAAATGGAACTGGTGCTCCATGACTGTGATGAGGGCTGGACTGTGGGTTCAAATCCCAGCCCTGCCCACTTCTGGACTGTGACCCTTGGGAAGTTTGCTGGATATTCTGAGTGTTGATTTCCCCAATGAAAATAGGGCTATTATTACAAAAGGTGCATGAATTCTAATAAGAAAATGTGCATGGAAAGCACATTAGGGCCTGGTACATCGTAGGTGCACAAAAAAATGTTAATAAATACGAATGAAAGTGGAGGGCTGGGTCTCCCTTGGCTCTGAAAACCTATGGTTTTATGCCCTAAGCAGTTGTTAAGCCAATGAATATTTTGCTCTGGTTAGAGATGTGGATTCTGAGTTCCAATTGGATATGCACATCAGGGCGTGCATTTGCAGTTCATTTGGGTAAGAGCTGTGGTAATAACACTCTTGGCCTTCCTTTGCTCTGCTTTTTGTCCTCCACTCACATCTATGAGTGGCAACCCTTTGGTCCTAGACTTGGGAACAGACCTGTCAGTGCCTTATGCTCCCAGGACAGATTCACCCTTGGCTTAAGCCCTCCAGAGATGTAAGGGGCCTGTTTATCTAGGCACTTCCAGCCAATTGAAGAGTTTAAAAATCACTATATTTTCTAGCCCTGATTTCCAGCTAGCATTCTGTTAAAAAAAAAAAATTAAAAGAGGAAGTTCTCTGGCCTGTTCATTTATGGTAAAATTAAAAATTTGTGATCCTTTAAGAAAACTGAAGGAAATTTCACTTAATGGGTAAGCATCTTCATCTTGGTCTGAATCCAATCCTCATTAGAAATACATTAAAGTACTCATCTGTGGCAGCCAGGTGTTTGGATTTTGCCGAATAATTTGGCTCAGACTTTATGACTCATCTTCTCTGTGGCAAACCTGACCCGTTTTTCATTATTAAAAAATACATAACTCCTAAATGAATACAGAAGAAACAACTTAATATGGGGCTACCCCAAGTGAGATTGAAGACTACCTGCAAAATGTATTCAGAAATATTACCAGTGACTTGAGATGAGATCTTTTCTTCATAGTCCAGTAGCTGCTGTTGAGTGAATTAAAAATTCAAGAAAAATAATGTATGTAATAATGTATGTAAATGAGGACAACTGCCTGGCATCTCTTAGGCATGTGATCATTCTTTGTTGCTGGTTGAAGGTTCAGTATTGAGGAAGATGATGTGAAACAAATGCCTTAGAGATCCTTGTTCCCATTCTGCAGCTTTCTACCTCCCCTCTTCCTTTTCTATCCCCTTCCTCAGTAATGACTGTTGACGTAAATCTTTTAGGATGTATATGATAAATACATACACATAGAACATTCATACATGTATACTTGCCATATGTGTATAATGTGTGTATATATATTATTATATGTACATAAGGTGTACACATGTATGTACATGTATGTGTATACATTTGTTCCTTAATATCCGTGGGGTATTTGTTCCAGAACACTCAACAGATACTAAAATCTGTGGAAGCTTAAGTCCCATACATAAACTGGTATAGTATTTGCATAGAATCTGCATACATCCTCCCATACACTTTAAATAATCGCTGGATGACTTACACTAATAGAATGTAAATGCTATTAAAAAGTTGCTGTGCTGTATTGCTTAGGGAATAATGACATGAAAAAAGTCTGAACATGTTTAGTACTGACACAATTTTTTTCCAAATATTTTCAATATGTAGTTGTTCGAATCCTCAGATGTGGAAATCATAGATAAGGAGGGCCAACTGTATATATTTCTACATATTTAAATAATTTTGATTAGTATGCCCAGGAAAAAGGAACCAACTACGAATAGTTACATGTGGATATATGCCAAGATAATATCAAGGTGACAAGTTAGATGTTAGACCTTTTTTCTTCGTTCCTCCTTCCTTCCCTCCCTCTTCCTCTTCCTCTTTTCTCCCTCCTTCTCTTTCCTTTCCTTTTTTCTTTTCCCCTCCTTTCCTTCCCTTCCCTTCCCTTCCCTTCCCTTCCCTTCCCTTCCTTTCCCTTTCCCTTTCCCTTTCCTTCCCAGGTCACTGAAACAGGTTTATTGTGCTATAACCAGTCTTCTGCTATCTTTTTTTGCACTCACATGATAGTTAAATGCTACCTTAATTTCCAACAGAGGAAAAGTCTTTGGTGCAAGCCAATAAAATTGTTGAGTTCCAGCAGATTTCATGATTGTGTTACTAAACAGGTGGCTGTGGGGACTTGGAGAGCATGGGGCCAGATTGGGTACCGTTCAGTAAGAACAACTGATGTTACATAGCTGCCTCTGCTGCTTTCATGGGAAATATATAAGCATATTTTCTGTGTTTGACTCTCAAAGGCAGCTAGAATAATAGGATTTCTTTCTAGACCCATACCAGAGAAGCAAGGGTCCCCTTGGGATGAGCGATGGCCCAGAACAGTCAGTCACCTTTAAGGACCTGAGTAGCTACAATTACAGGAATGAACCACTGGTGCCTGGCCCCTTGTGTCCTCTTGGTTAGAGTTCTTGCTTTGATCAGAAGTACCGATGCTTAGGGCGGAGCTGAAGTCATAATTGTCCCCTCAATATAACAGGAAGAGTGTGGCCCTGGAGTCAGAAACACTGCGGCAAAATCCCTGTGTTACCTTGTAGCTTTGTAGCCTTGAGCAAGGAACCTAATATTTCTATCTCTTCATAGTAATATCCACCTCTCAGAGCCATTGTAAGAAAGCAAGGAAATCACATTATCAGGGGCTCAGCATCTGACCAAATGCAGCACTCTGAGGCTCTTTATAGGGATAGCCAAGGTGTCTTTAGGGCTTTAGTTAGTTGGTGTCCATCCAGACTTGGGTCAGCCTTTGCCTACATATGGTATGTTTATAGCTAGTGGGTATATCATCCAGGCTTGGAGGAAGTGTGGCATCTAGTTAAGGGTGTGTGCTTTGGAACTAAGCTGTCTAGATTAGAATCCCAGATCTCCATCTACCAGCCATGGGTATTCAAGCCATCTAGATCTTTTCTTTCCTCTTGGCTTGGAAACAGTTGGACAAGCCAGGTGCCGGTGGCCCACTCCTGTTATCCTAGCTACTCAGGAAGCAGAGATCAGGAGGATGGCGGTTCAAAGCCAGTCTGGGCAAAAAGTTCAGGAGACCCTGTCTTGAAAACCCCTTCACAAAAATAGGGCTGGTAGAGTGGTTTAAGATGAAGTCCCTGAGTTCAAGACCCTGTACTGCAAAAAAGAAAAAAAAAAAAAAGAAGGAAAGAAACAGCTGGACAACAGTATAGGGGACACCTACAGTGGAGTCTAAATCCCTGTGTACAGCAGAGGAGCTATTGACTGGCTCAGGATCATAAGGAAGTGACCAAGCTATGATCAGAACTCAGGATTCCCAGTTAATATTGGAAATGTCTGCCATGAAGGTGCCCACTGTTTACATGGCTGTGGGGTGGGCTGGGTGAGCGCTGAGGTTTGATCTTCAGGAAGTCTTCTTTCTTTCCATCCCCATGTACTCCATGTACTCACCATCAGCCTCTCACATGCTTGCTGCTCCCAGTGCTCACAGTTCCTTTATTTCTGATCTCAGCAACAGTTAGTTCCCATCACCTCAATCCAACCTGAACTCATCTATGGGAAAATTTCAAATGACTGTTTTTGGAGATGGGGTCTTCCTGTGTTGCGAAGACTATTCTTATACTTGGGGATTCAAGTGATTTTCCTTCCTCAACTTCAAGTAGCTGGAAATATGGGCATGTACCCAAGCAGGCTTCCAAACTGTCCTCTTTGAAATGTCTTTTCAACTTTAATTTAAAGGAACTATGCATACCTGGAATGTTAAGCTAAGGTTATGTTGGAGAAAAATTGCCTTCCAAAGTGCTTCAATAAAAAAAGATCAATTTTACCATCCAGTA